AATGAGCGTTGTCTCTAAACGCTCTGGAGACTATGGCAATGTTATTATGGGGATATTTAGTAAATAGCATCGACATGCAATCTTATATAGTGTATGCATTCCTTAATCCTTTTATTCTCACTAATTTTCTTTGCTTAACTTATCATTTCACTTATCCTTCTTTTATTCTCTCCATATGTGCGCATCCGATTCATCGAATCCTTTCTTGTCAGTTTATTAATAAAATCATTTGTTAGGTTTTATGAGACTTTATGGCCTTCTAATCCTTGTGAAGTACGTTGAAATCTAAAATTGCGATGTTAGCTAGGTTGTCATTCAGCTAAGCGATAATTTTCTTATCATGAGCCGTTCTGGTGTGAATTTTGTTTTATTTCTTACTTTGGACCAATAAAATCTATTTTGTACCAATTTATTTAACATTTTTACATTTAGATATGGGACTACGAGAGTGGCGAATTTGAGCGTACTCTTAAAGGACACACGGATGCTGTTCAGGATGTCGTATTTGACCCTTCTGGTAAACTTCTTGCCTCTTGCTCCGCCGATATGCAGATCAAATTGTGGGATTTTTCTTTATACCAATGCATTAAGACATTGACTGGGCACGATCACAATGTCAGTAGTATCGCTTTTCTTCCGTCCGGTGATGCTCTAGTCAGTGCCAGCCGAGACAAAACTATCAAATTATGGGAGGTATCAACAGGGTGAGCGATAACAATTTATTTGAAACTCTGAGTATATATACATTATACGAGGCGGTTTCGCTGGTTGCTTGGCTTTTGGTGAACGATTCACTATTTATCCCATCAAAGACAATTTTGTCTTCCCATTTGGCACCACTATTTCATTAAGAAAAAGATTGTGTTTTGATTCGGGTTTATATATTGGTTAAAAAAATTTAGTTTTCTAGGGGATGAATTATTCACATATCTAGGTTATGCGTTTATTTCTATTTTATTTGGTTATTCATTTTGGTTAGTATTACTTTGATCAAGTATGAGCAATTCTATTGCTTATATTAGCTATTTCTGAATCTATTATCATTGATATTTGCTATTCCGGATTCAATACAAAGCACATGGAAAAAATTTAACCTTAAATAATAGATACAAGTATCCATTTTAGTTAAAATTATAATGTAATTATAATGTAAAATGTTTAGAAAATGGCACGTGCGATATATGTGGTGTTGTGAACTGTATCCATGCAATGCTCAAGTGGTATGAGATGTGAAAGCTCTTACTAGACTCTTGGATATTAATCCCTCTTGCTAAGCACTTATTATTCTATTCTTATTCAATTGCCACATTTAGTTCCAACTTACTGATTTAAGTAACCAAGCAAATCATGGGATACCTCATCAAGCTCACAAGGTTACACAGTAGTGCTCTTTGTTTAGTATATTGGTGTGGGTTTTCCCAAACTGTCATTTCTCGTTCTGGCCATGTCTATCACGGCCACGTGCCACAAATTAAAACCCAACACGAATTGATCTTAAACGCAGTATAATTATCCCAGGACTTCTTCTTACGATCATAGTCTTCATTCCAAATTAATCATTCGATTTTCCTTAAGGCCAATTCGTGAATCCTCTCCAGCCGACTTTAGTTTTAAAATGAAAGGTTGAGTCACATGGCTGAGAATTTCTTTGAGCACTTACTCTTCTACATTACTCTAAACACTATTCCCTTTCTCTAAATAAACTTAGCTTGGTTTTTGTATATCGGGCAAAGCCGTTTAGCCTCGGTAAGCGATATGCATGGTAGGTTGGGTCTCAGTTCTAAGTTCTCACACTTTCGAAGCTTCATTTTCAATCGTAACCACGCAAGATAATTATCGCATTCGCATTAATAACCTATTTCTAGTGTTTTCCAACATCTTTGTTTACTAAAATTTTTTAGCATTGAGCTTGGATTTCAAACTTCAGCCACCACTTATTTTGTCGTTTCTAATCTTTATTTCTTATATTCTTATCTTGCCATATTTTACCAACTTGACGTTTCCAAATGACTTCACCCTACTCAATAAAACGTTAAATTCAAAACCATAATCTTATGCCTTGTTTCTGTTACACTGTCAGTTCACACCTCTCGGCCTATGAATCATTATTGCATTCACAAATTATATCATATTGTCATGAGTGTCTACTACCTATAACCTACCGCAAAAACATATAATCTCATGTTAGCGTTACTCCTCTCCTAACGATTGGGTGGTTATGGAAGGTAATTCTTTAGACACTGATCCGTCAGCTTATCTACTAA